CCCAGAAATTGGGGTTTAGTTCATGACGAAATTAAGATAAATCGATAGGGTTTTGTTCATCATGTCTAAATCAACAAGAAACAACTAATTCGGTTCAGAAAATCCAACCAACTAATCGCTCTCGTTGAATTCAGCTCAAGCCGCCCGGAAAGAATTGCTCGCCAATTGCTCAATCCTCTCTACTGCGCGCTGCGGCCTTTGGTTTTCTCCACAAGAAAATCGCCCTCTCCTAAAAAGAATGAAGTTCCGCCCAGAAAAAACCAAAACAAAAGTCTCCTCACCAAAGAATTCCCCCGCTGCCTTTTATTTGCCTCCGTCCCCCAAAATTACCTCTCGCCCATCCGTCCAAATTCATTTCAGTTCCCTCCTCTGTTTAGAATAAAGTTTCGCCTGTTCCCAAAAGAATAGAGCCGCCTCTTGCTTTCCATTCTCAAAGAGAAACCCGGCCCAAAGAAAGTAATTCCCCCGGCCCAAGCTTTTGTTCCGTCCAAAAAAATTGCTTCTAGCCATCGACCTCCAATATTGCTTCTTCCAATTTTCTTGTTTGTTTTCCGCCGCCTTCCAAAACCAAAAGAGAGGCCGCCTTCTCTAGAAAATAACCGGCCCATCCTCAATTTCCCAGCTCCTGCCTTTTTCCATTAGAATTCCGTTCGCCCTGGTAAGAATTGATTCCGCCCATCATTCCAAAGCCCCCCAGAAATTGTATAATCTTGGCTCGGCCCAAGATAAAAATGGCCGCCCTCCATTAATTTGCCTTGGCAGAATTCCTCTTCCAATTCATTGGACTTCCGTCCAAAAAATCTGCTCCCCTGGCCCATGTCATTAATCCCCATCCAGCTGGGCTTTAAGCCCAGCATTCGAGAATTGTTTGCCGGTGCACTTTTTCGTGTTTTCTCCATCTGCATCATATCAAACTCATGGACTAGGCAGTAATGGTTTTTCAACCATTTCCGGGTTAGCGAGCCCTAAAATAGCACCAATTGGCTAAAACATACCATGAATAATCACAAAAAGTCCAAGAATCCGATAGGTGCTATGAGTGGCTCGTCATGCCCTTCGGGTTGAAGAATGCTGGTGTCACTTACCAAAGAGCCATGAATGCTATATTTCATGACTTGATTGGAGAGTTGGTTGAGGTTTATGAGGATGACATTGTTGTCAAGTCTAAGGTAACAAGTCAATATTTATCTCATCTTCACATGGCCTTCTTACGTATGAGGGGCCATAACTTGAAGCTAAATCCACTTAAGTGTGCATTTGGCGTGTCTGTAGGTTATTTATTAGGGTTCCTTTTGAGCCAAGGTGGCATTGAGGTTGACAAGAGCAAGACCAATGCCATCATTGAGACCATGCCAAGTAATAAGAAAGAGCTTTAGAGGTTCCTTGGCCAAGTTAACTACATTCAACATTTCATCTCGAATTGTGTTGGCTGAACGCAAGTCCTCTCTCCTTTAATGAAGCTGAAGCAAGAAGATGAATTCGTATGGCGTCAAGAGCATCAACAAGCCTTTGATGACATCAAGAATTACCTGGCAACCCCACTGGTACTCAACTCTCCAATCCCACATCGGCCATTGAAGTTGTACCTTTCATCCACTAACGCCTCTATAGTGTGTCTGTTTGCTTAAGATAGTGACTCTAGCCATGAACAAGTCGTGTAATACTTAAGTAGGCTGTTAAACGAGGCAGAACAAAAGTACTCCCTTGTAGAGAAGCTATGTTTAGCCTTGTATTTTTCTTGTATGAAGCTAAGGTACTACTTGATGCATGTTCAAGTGCAACTCATGTGTAAGACTGATATAATAAAGTACATGTTGTCTCGAGACCAATCATCTATGGGAGGATTGGTAAGTGGATACTTGCTCTATCAGGGTTCAAATTGCAGAATGTGCCCCCAAAGGCCATAAAGGGCGAAGCATTGGCCGACTTCTTAGCTGACCACCCATGGGTGAATGTGCCAGCTGAATTGATAGAAATAGATAGGGTGGATGAGGCACCTTGGACCTTATAATTTGATGGGTCAAAGACATGGTCTGGAGAGGGTGCTGCCATTGTCCTCACTTCCCCATCAAGGCATGCTATGCACTTTGCCTTTACACTTGATCTCCTTTCCACTAACAATCCAGTCGAGTATAAGGCTTTAGTGGTGGTGATGGAGATGCTTGTTGACGTGAAGGTCAAAAGTGTTAACATCAAAGGGGATTCCCAATTGGTGGTTTACCAAGTACTTAGTGAATTTTGATGTATCAATTGTATACTGGAGACATAACTTGATTATGTCCAAATATTAATTACTCACTTTGATAACGTCTCCATCAAGTATGTTCCTCGCCAGGATAATGGCAATGCCAACTACTTAGTAGAACTAGCTTCGGAGTTTAGAGAGTTTGCTCATCAAGGGAGAGAGCAAATTTTTGTGCGAACTCTTAACCCATTGCATGAGAGACTTAAGCAAAGCTAGATGTGTATACTATTGAGGAGGATGTCAGTGATTGGCGTACCCCCTTGATAACATATCCAACAAGGGATGTGGATAGAGCCACCAAGTTCAAAGCAAGGAACTATGTCTTGATGGATGGGGACTGATACAAAAAAAGACCAGACGGTTTGCTATTGGAGTGCTTGGGGGCAAGGAGGCCCTACAAGCAATGGGGGAGGTCCATGAAGGGATACATGGTGCTCATCCAGCAGGCCCTTCTATGAGATGGGTACTCCACCGGTATGGATACTACTGGCCATCCATCGGAGAAGATTGTGTCACTTTTGCTAAGGGGTGAGAGGCTTGTCAACGAAATGTCCAGGTTCAAAGAGCTCCCGCCATTGACAAAGTCTATAATCAAGTTTCGTTCTTTCTATGGATGGGCTATGGACTTGATTGGGAAGATCTATCCAACATCTTCTGATAGACACATTTTTTCATCTTGGCAACTGATTACTTCACCAAGTGGGTGGAGGCTAAGCAAATGACAGTGGTTAATCAAGGAGAAATCATCAAGTTCATTAAAGAGAATATAATACACCGGTTCGCCTTACCAGTCACCATAATAGCTGACCAGGGTAACGTGTTCATGAAAGGGGAAGTGTTGGCTTTTGCCAAGGAGCATGGCATCAAGATCATAAACTCCACTCCTTACTATGCTCAAGCCTATGGTTAAGCTGAAGCATCCAACAAGGTGATGAAGGGTATATTATCTAAGATGATTGAAGATAACCTGAGGAAGTGGCATGAATTCTCGGAAGCTTCATGGGCTTATCAGATGTCGCCACGTAGTAGTACAAAGGTGATCCCTTTCTCTCTTATATGTTGGCCATGAGTCCTTCTTGCCACTCGAAATAACAGTCAAATCATTGAGGTACGTGAGGCAACATGAATTAACACCGTCAGAGTATTATGAATCCATGATGTTGGAACTGTGTGATCTTGATGAACTCTAGCTCAAAGCCCTCGATAACATCAGGGTACAAAAAGAAAAGGTGGCTCGTGCTTACAACAATAGGGTCAAACACAAATCATTTGAGGAAGGAGAGCTAGTATGGGAACTACACTTACCCATTTGGGATAAGGATCCCAAGTTTGGAAAGTGGTCTCCCAACTGGCATGGAACCTTCATTATTCACGCCACCCGACCAAATAGAGCCTATTTGTTAACATATTTAGATGGTGCGTTTCAAGTCTTATGTCTCTTCTCTTTGGGACATGGGGTGTCAAGGACTTCAATGTTAGTCGTCCACCATGGTGGTCGGCGTGCCAAGCCTCCCACACCCTAAGGCCTGGCATGCTACCCTCATGAGAAAGCATGGCTTGAGTAGCTAGCAATGATACTGAGGATATGTTGGGATATAATAGTTGCGGTGGTGAAGCCAAGTAGATTGGCATCATACTTCGCTAATAAAAAGATAAATTTATTACTAAGGCAATGAAAAGAACTGCTCGCCAAGGGCAAACACTAAAGGGCCGAGTCATATGAACACCAGAAGAGGTAAAAATAAGAGCCAAATCCATGGCTAAGCCGAATGTCTCAAAGCATAAAATCAAGCTAAAAAAATAAAAATAAAAAACATGAAAACAAAGTATGGATGATTTAGCCTTGCATGTGGCGGAGAGCCTCTTTGACAATGTCTCGTAGCTTAAGGATGGTAGCAAGACAGGTGTTATGCACAAAGAGGGCATGCTCCTTACCGTGAGCTAGCTGCGCCATAGGTGTCTTTGAGCCATCGTTTTTTTTAAGAGTATGAGTTTCTTCCACTAGCTTTTGTAAGCTTTGAGACATAGGAACATGTTGAGCTTGGTCCTCGGCAGCCTCTGCACAAACTTTGGCTAGCTCTTTTCGAGTTCAGCTTTTGGCGAGCTTCTTCCCTTTCTTTGAAACCAATAAGGACATCCTTCATGGTCTTGCATTCGACAGTCATTTGGGTGTAGTTGGCTTGAATGGATTCCCTATTAACGACTTGGTTTTGTTGGTGGATAGCCTTCTCCATTGTTGATATGCTGAAGCTGAGACTATTCCTAGCAGCTTGTAAAATGTACATCTTATTCATGTCCAGTCCTAGCAGTGGGTTGAGCACAACAAGTTTGGATAGTGATTCAAGAGCTTGTGTAGGCCAGTGATTCTTGGCCATGATTGCCTGCTCATGAGTGATTGAGAGTTAGTGGTCCAGCTCAGTGAGGGCAATACGTGTGGCTTCAGAAGAGGGGGCAACAACTTCAGTTTCCACACCAAGTGATTCATTGTTCTCAAAGTCTTGGAAGAGCTCAAAGTTGTGTGTAACATCCCTACCCTCGTACTAATTATTACGTTATAATTACGTGGTTGTGATTGGGTTACAAAAATTGGTCTTTTGATCCGAAAAGTAAGTGAATAGTTGAGTTTTGGACTTAACTGTCAGGAAAGGAAAGTTGGGGAACCTAAGTGTAAGATATGGATGATTGGAGGATTGAAGGGGGAAGTTTGGGGAGATAAAAATCTGCCCCCTCCCTCTTATCTCATTTCCTTCTGATCCTTTCCCCTCATTCTCTCCCAAGTCTCTTCCTCTCTTGCTCTCTTTTCTTCCATTTTCTGCTTCCACCACCCCCAAAAACCTTCATCCCTTTGCAGAAATAAGTGGTAGATAAGTAGAAAGAAAAGGATATCAAGGAAAGGAAGAAGAAGGGAAACAAGGGGTGCTGCCAATTTTCGTCCAGCAGCAGGACAGCTTGTGGAAAGGACGATTATGGACACTTGAGCCGTTGGATCGTGCTGATATTCGGAGGTTTTGTTCCTTATGTCATTTTCTACGATTGGACCGTTCGGATCATTGTTATGATCTCTGGTTCATTTAGTAAGGTCGCTGGACAGGAGGGGTGCGACTTTGTTTTCCTGTAGCAGGGCAGCAGATTAGAGGTAAGATTTTATACGAAGTAGCCGTTGGATCTTTCTAGAAATTTGGTATAATGTTAAGTATATAAGTTTCTTTGAGTTGACCGTTCGGATCTTAGTTTTAAGTTCGAAGTGGTCAGGACCCATTTGTTAGAAGTAGGGGAGTTGGATTGAAGTGAGAAGAAAGTAGCTGACAGTTTCGATACGTCAATTTAAAATGATTTCTGGGCTCAAAATACTGATCCAAATGGTCTGAAATTTGGATATGTTGTATCCCTATGAATCTAGTTTTAGTAGCAACAAGAATCAACGGATTTGGTTAAGTATCAAGGGAGAATTAACCAAAATGATGAAGCAGGGTAAAGAGTGCGGTCGTATGACTTCCCTAGTGGCCTTATCGACATGCATAAATCTGGTGCTTGTATAACCTGGAAAATTTGTATATAAAGGTCAGGAGCAAGTCGGGGGCTCATCCAAAGGCAAGGGCATTGCCGAGTGAAGATAAATCTGTGAGTAGATTCTAATCTTAGATCTACCTCAACATAATCACAGTATTCGGGTCATGAAGCGGCCCGAATACATATCGGGGTCATGAGGAGGCTCCGGTATAACATGGGAATTTATGGGAAATGATATGGCTATGTGATATGGCTTATTTGTGTTTATTCATTATCTGTATTTGGTAGGAAGTTGGAAATGCATGAATTGTGAATGGGATGTGGAAAGACATTTTGTTGACTTATTGTGTGGATTATGAGTAAGTATTTGAACTTGCGAACCCGTCTTGTCTGTTTAGATTTGGAGTAAGCCATTAGGCTTACTAATCCTGTTCTGCTTGAATAACGAACTAGTAATGAAAAGAGGTGAATACATAAGGATAAGTAACAAGGCTTTATGATACCTCGGTACAGTAGTGTGTCCTGTTTGTATCGATGTGGGTAAACCCCACGACACTCCTGTTTGAGCGCTCGTGCTCCGCACCTTGCCGATTGGGTGACGAACCACGGTACTCCTGTTCTGTTCAGTTAGCCGGGCTGGGGTAATCCCGCGGCGACTCCTGTTTTTGTATCGGTCCGGGTTGTGTCCCGCGATACTCCTGTTGGTGCGAGCACTCCTGTTTCGTGCCTTGTGCACTCCTGTTTATACCGGATTGGGTTTTGTCCCGCGGTACTCCAGTTATCCGATGGCTGTACATGGTTATCCTGCAGCCTTCCACTACTGTACTACCCGAGGAGTATATCATTTAGCAAGTCTGAAAGTGAATTTGTATAAGCAAAAATGCCTCTATCTGTCATCTGTTTATGTATTTTGACTGTGGAATGTGAGCTTGTGAACTGGATTGATTCAGTAAAATGAAAAGTGTGATAAAACAGCTTAACTCCTGTTATGTGCTAGGGTGTTTCTGCCCGATACTGTTTTTGTATTGATGTCGATCCGAGCTTAGAATTTATTCAGTGAGCGACGACTCATCCTTCGTCATCATTTTTCCTCAGATAAAGATCAGAAGTAAGGTCTCTACTGTAGATATTGGGACTCAAGCTTGAAGGGAAGCCATGAGGTAGGCGGAGGACTCCGAACTCCTTGAATGTTTTATGTTGTGTGGATTTTGTAATAAAGCAGACTTCCCCGGTTTTCTGTTTCGACTCTATTGAAAATGTAAATTATAGTTTGAAGTTTGGAAAAAAAAATACATATATAAAGCTCGGGCCCGAGAATGTTTAAACTCGATGTATTTTACTGTTTTGTTTTGTAATATAAAGTAAGGGTTTTACATTTTTGGTATCAGAGCTGGGATATGATCCCGTGGATATCAAACGTTTTAAACGAGATTTTATTGGGAAAACTTAAATGATTTCACGGGGAAGTGACTAATTATTGATTTTGACTTTGTATTTTGTTTTTGTGGAGTTCAGTCAAGGAGCAGATCCGCAACCTCATGGGAATCCTAATGCTGGGGGTTCTAATTTTAATGGGAATAATGCTGAGTCCCACAATAGAGCCAATCCTTATGTCAAGGATTTTGAAAAACTGAGGAATATGGGGGCTGAGTTCTTTAAAGGGGCTATTGACCCTAAAGATGCTCTGGACTGGATCAAGGAGATGGAACGAATCTTTAACCTCCTTGAGTGTCCTGATGAAGCAAGAGTGGAGTATATGTAATACCTGCTCAGGTCTGATGCTTATGACTGGTGGTTGACCGTACCCGGAGCTCAGGATCGTACAATTCGGTATACCTGGGCGGAATTTCTTGATAAATTCCGTAAGCAATATGTGCCTGATCTGTATGTGGATAGGAAGAAGAAAGAGTTTCTGGACCTGAAGCAGCAAAGGGGGCAGACTGTTAAAGAGTATGATGCCATTTTCCATCATTTGATGACCTTCGCGATGGAGTTGGTACCTACTGAACGAGCTAGATGCAACCGCTATGAGCAAGGCCTGAATCCCCAGATCAAGATGATAGTATCAAAATCAGAGACGAATGATCTTGCCACCTTGAGAGAGGCTGCCATGAGAGCAGAGGATTTGGTGAATGAATTGGGAGCACAGATGGCTGAAGGAGGGAAGAGAAAGTGGAAGAATGTGGGTTCCTCGAGTGCTGGGAACTCATTCGGGGGTAGACCTAATCAGAGTCAGAAGGTTTCACGTCCAATTGCCAGTTACCCCGGACAGGAGCGAAGAAGTGCTGGCCCAGCTCTGATTTGCCCACATTGCGGGAATCAGCATATGGGTGTTTGTAGGAGGGTGACTGGTGGGTGTTTCCGATGTGGAGACACTAGCCACTTTCTCCGCGATTGTCCCCTCATGTCAGAGTCCAGGCCTGCTGGATCCCAGACTACAATTCAAGGGTCCAGAAGGACTGGAGGTCCAATGAGAGGATTAGGAAGAGGTGGTAATAATCGTGGCAAAAGTCAGGGTGGACAGAGCAGTCGGGGTGAAGTGCAGCCACGAGCTTTTGCTATGACTAGGAGGGAGGCTGACATCTCCCCAGAGGTCGTTACTGGTACGGTTCTTATCTATGATCTTACCGCTTATGCGTTGATTGATCCTGGTGCTACTCATTCATTCATATCTTCTGCATTCTCACGTGGGTTGCCTGTGCACTCTGAAATGTTGAACAAGAATGTATTAGTTCAAACCCCAGTAGGAGATACCGTAGTGATTGAATATGCCTATCCTGATGCCCCAATAAGTATAGCTGGAACTATTCTGCCAGCTAACTTATTGAGGTTAATGTTGACTGAATTTGATATGATTCTAGGAATGGATTGGTTAAGCCAACATAAAGCCATAATGAACTGTTATACCAAGGAAGTAATTTTCGAAAGACCAGATGGTCAGAATGTGATTTTTCGAGGGACTAGACAGGTGGTGCCTAGTTGCCTAGTCTCGGCCACCAAGGTGGTGAGTTTGATGAAGGAAGGTTGTGAAGTGTATCTGGCTTATGTGACTGAGGGCAAATCGGAATTGAAACCTGAAAATGTTCCGGTTGTGAAGGAGTTCCTCGATGTGTTCCCTTCGGAACTGCCAGGATTACCTCCGGAAAGGGAAATAGATTTCACTATCGAACTTATACCGGGCAGTGCTCCGATCTCTGTATCTCCGTACCGGATGTCTCCGTTAGAACTGAAAGAACTGAAGGAGCAACTTCAAGAGTTGCTAGATAAGGGGTTTATTAGACCTAGTGTCTCCCCTTGGGGCGCTCAGGTATTATTTGTGAAGAAGAAGGATGGAACTTTTCGTCTGTGTATTGACTACCGGAAGCTCAACATGTGGGCGAGAGAACTTAAATCCTGCAAAGGTTTTTATGTAAGTTATTAACAAGCCGATTTAAAGAGGGATAAAAAAAGGTTGTGGTGCTTACCAAGGTTGGAGTAGTGCCACTGGTGGTGGTTTGGATTTCTGGCATTGCGGAGGGATAGAATGTAGCTCGCTCGATCCCGGACACATTGATAGTGGATGGTCCAATGTTAGACCCTTGTAAAGCACCTTGGGTATCGTGGTACTCGGCAGGGAGTTGATAGTCTTTGCCATTGAGGGTACCCCCGATATGCTTGTTGCTGAAGCCACCCTCCAATTCATTAAGGAGGTTGTTCTCCAAGATAGCTAGGTTGGATAAGTTGGCTTGATGGCTTGAGGAGAACAAGTTGGAAGTCGGAACGTGGAAGGGTGCACCTTTTGATGGCAAGGGAGTAGTAAAGGCGCGAAGCTTGTATGTAGGAATCCCAAAGCCAAGAGGTCCGAATAATGAAGAGTTAGATACAATCGTGGGGTTGATCAAACCTGAAGGGGGCTCACTTGCCACTGCCAAGCGGGACGATGAAAGGTTTGATTCCTTCATCTGGATTGGAATTAACGTAACTTGCTCTAAAAAAACCATAAAAACATCAAATATCCTTGTTCGAACATTGTTTGGAGAGGTGTGAACCGTGTAATTGATCGTTGTTCAAGAAGTCAAATGTGCATTAATTGAATTCAAACACCTGAGTTTTCTTCGCCGGAAAACATAAATATATATAGACAGTAGTAACTTAGAATAATCCATCAACAAAAATATGTATGAACTAATTATTATCAATATCACAATTACCAAGTAGTACAAAGATTACTTTCTAACTTTTAGTAAGCAATGATCCAAATGAAAATATGGATAATTTGATTATCTTAAAGTGTAGTAAAAAAAGATAAATTCATCTGAGACCAAGAGGAGCTAAAAAGCTAGTTACATTAATAACGTGAATATTGTTTTAATATTAGGATAAAAACAATTAAAAGCCAACCTTTTATTTTAAAAAAAATAATAGTCAAACCTTTTCAAAAACAAAATAAAAGTCAAACTGTTAACTTTTCGTCCGATTAAACGTTAGTTGACTATGACGTGGCAAAAACATTGTGAGGTGGAATGAATTTAATGACGTGACACAAAATCAAACATTTCACTGTGCCACATGGATAATTATAAATTTTAACTAATTCTTATATTCTTATGAAATAATTAAAAATAGAATTATCTTCTTCTCCTCCCTCCTGAAGACCTGAGCCTACCTAACAATTGAACTTACCTTCCCTCCGGCAAATCTCGCCGCTGTTAACAATCGATGAACTTTATCTCTCCTAAACCCCTCTCTCTCACACTCCCGTCTGTGTTAACCCCCCAAATCCAACCTTCCCTTATTCTTACTTCCGCCATTTTCTTCACTTTCCAATTGACCCACAAGCCCAAAATCCAAAACCCAAGCACCATTCACTCTCACCGCATTGCTTTCCCTAGTTTTTGCGCGTCTGCCCGAACTAGTGGCGGCCAAACTCGAGCGACGCCATCAACTATCGATTGTCCTATAGCAGTGGGTAACAGCGTCGAGATAAATCAAAGGAAAGGTGAGTTCAGTCGTCTGGTCGATGAAGTTGAGCGTGAAAGATGGTAGCGGAGCCACCGAATTGATGATAGAGTAGGTGAAGAGGTTGAGCTTGAGGTAAAGGAAATTGTTCTCTAAAAAAAGGAAATGGAAATCGTTGGTGGCAATTTTGAGGTAAGGGAAATCATTGGTTAAGCCCTTGAGCTTGTTGACATGAGGGGAATCGTTGAATAAAATAGGGCTAACAAAACGGAGAGAATGATAGCCGTGTGAGATAGGTCTCTTTTAGTGGTGGTATGGTGGAGTAGTGGAGGAAGGTGCAGGATAGGGGTGAGCATCAGTTCGGTTCAGTCGAAACCTAACCAGAATTAAGAATACCGGGTCCCTGAAGTTGTCCATGCACCAAACCGATTTCGAACCAAAATATAATTCAGTTTGGTTCATCCGAACCGGATTATATCTCGGTTCGGTCCGATTCAAAGGCCAACCCGAAATTGTAGAACCAACGCACCTAATCTACGCCCCACATTAATCCTTCCCTTCCTCTCACACCTTATCTCCCACAAAAAATCTCCGCCCATATTAAGCCTTCTCCTCCTCTCTCTCTCCCCTCCGTCGCCTAATTCAAAGGCAATGAAGATCGATCGAGAGAACAAGGTGACGATTGAACAACACGACAGCAGTGACAACCGACAAGCGACATCGACGATGAAGAATCAGGTAGCATCGTTTGCATGTGGTCTTCAGTGGCACGATTGAAGAGGTAGAGTTCTCTCTGTCTCTAGTCTCGAAGTGAAGAAAGGAAGAAAGGTGATGGTGACGAGGAGGAGGGTGGTGGATGGAGGGGAGGAGCGTTTGGTGGATTGGGGGACGGTGGTGGGATCTGCAGCTGCGGAGTGAAGTGGGGCGGTGGTGGGATTCTGGAGTGACAACAATTTTAGAGTCCAGAGGTGAGAAGAGCGAGAGGGCTTAAATGGGAGAGGGATTCTCCACTGGATGTATATTTTTTAGTCTATTAGGGTGAGTTGAGTGTTGAAGGGGATGGGCTGAGGAGTGGGTGAGAGATATGGGTTGAGGCCTATTGTCACTTGGGGTGAGGTATGAGGGTGAGGTATGAAAATGTGGTCTGGGTGTATTATTTCGATTTTTTGGTTCGGTGATCAGAATTCGGGTTGGTCGAGAGGACGCTGGTTTACGAAATATGTCTATTTTGTTTCCAAATTTCGAACCGAACAATATTATTTCAATTTCAGTTCGGTTTTCAATTCAGTTAGACTTGGTATGGTCTGAGTTTACCGAACCGGATGCCCACCCCTAGTGCAGGAGATGGGGTTTCGGCAGAGGACTGTTCGTTTCCATGGGAGAGAGGGAAGGGAAGAAGCGATAAGGAGATGTGTGGTTGTAGCTTGTGGGTTTTCCATTTTTTATTTCAACTTTTCATACATTAATTAGTATTGATAATTAAGAGGTGACGTGTCAAAATAATGGGATTAATTTGTTGCCATCTCACTCATAAAAAAAAAAAGTTTGATGCCAACTAAGCAATTAGTATGCCACATCATAGTCATCTAATGTTTGACGGGATGAGAAATTAACATTTTGGCTATTATTTTATTTTTTAAAAGGTTTGATTATTATTTTGTTTAAAATGAACGATTTGGCTATTAAAATTGTATTTATCATTAATATTAGGGCAAGTACCACTACAACACCTGAACTATAAAAAAATGTCACTTGTGTCTTTTATTCAATATATATGATAATTATGTCCCATCGTATAATACTTTTGTGTCATTTGTATCCAGACATTTTTGTTGACTGTTAAAGATAACGGTTGACCGGACGGAAGTCAAATTGTTGTTGACTTTTGCTGACGTGGTAAAAACATGACCGCCATGTAGATGCCACGTCATTAACACATCATATTATAATTTTTTTAATTCAAAATTAAATTAATATAAAAATTAAAAAATAATTACTCCCTAAACTTTCCCCTTCCCACGCCCCATCCAATGACTACCACACAGTGTTAAATGAATATGAGGAACTCAGCAGGCAAAGGGTGAATCTGGATAAGTCCGCAGTTTGTTTTAGTAGGAATATCGTTGCCCCGGATCAGGAGTTTCTTGATCAAATTCTGGGAGTAGGAGCCGTTGGGGTCCAGGATAAGTATTTGGGACTGCCTACTTTGATCTCGCGGTCTAAAATGGAAACTTTTCGGTGCTTGGAGGAAAAACTGCTTGCTCGACTCCAGGGGTGGAAGCAGAGGACGTTATCTTGTGCAGCTAAGGAGACTTTGATTAAGTCTGTCGCGCTTGCTTTGCATTTACATGTGATGTCTTGTTTCCGACTCCCCCTCTCGCTCTGCCTCCTGTTGGACAAGCATGTTGCCAGGTTTTGGTGGGGTGTGGAGAATGGGCATGCTAAATTCGATGGATGTCCTGGTGGGAAATGTGCAGGAGTAAGCATGAGGGGCATGGGCTTTCGCCGTTTTGAGCATTTCAATCAGGCACTTCTTGCGAAGATCGGATGGCGATTTTGAATGACCCAACCTCTCTGCTTGCTCAAGTTTATAAGGGCAAATATTTCCCAAAACGAAGTTTCCTTGAAGCTATCGCTTGCTCTCGCCCGTTTTGGTTGTGGCAAAGCATCCTGTTCGGGAGACCGCTGTTGTGTTGGAGAAAGGGCTTAGATGGAAAATTGGTAATGGTCAGTCTGCCCCGCTGCTTCATACTAGCTGCGTACCCCGGTTGCATCCCGATGCCCCTACTTTTAATCTTTGGGTTTTTCCAAATGGTGGAAAGCCGGTGGTCGCTAATGTTATAAGCCCTGAGGCAGGGGGTTGATGTGATCGTAGGCTTAGCCAGTGGTTTGATAAGCCTACTGGTCGTTCTATTAAAGAGATTCCTCTCCCGCGACATGAGGTGTAAGATTGTTTGGTATGGAACGACACGGAGGATGGGGTTTTCTCGGTGAAGTCTGCCTACCATTTAGCAGTTTTGCTGATAAAAAGAGTGGGAGGTGGCGTTCGCGTGGGATTTGGATGGATAAACCCAGTTGGATTCGGCTGTGGGAAGCTCTGATTCCCCCAAGCTAAAGGTATTCTTGTGGAAAATCTTTAACTGGATCCTGCCTACAACTGAAGCCTTATTGAGAGGGACGTCCAAGTTCATCCTAGATGTCCGGTTTGTTGGTCGGAGACTGAGACGATGAAACATTTGTTCCTTGATTTCCCAGTTGCTAGGGCTTTGTGGGATTATGCGGGGCTGGAGTATCTTGGCCAAGGGTTACCTCGTAATTGGGTTGTCTTTGAAGGCAAGCAATTTGGGATCCCAGTACTTATGAGGCAGTTTCATCAGCAGTATCATGAATGGATAAGTTTACCTATTAATAGGGCGCAGCAGGTCCCACCCACGGTTACTCAACCTGCAGGGGATAGTGCTCCTCCTTGTCCGTTTGTGTGTCGATGGGATGGGGTGATTAAGTCTGCGTCCCACTCGGCCGGAGGGGTGGTTGTTATGGACTAGTCGGGGATGGTTTTGATAGCTAAAGGGGTCCATTTTGCTGGGATTGATGGCCCTTTTCTTGCTGAGATCCTCTCGCTCCGGGAAGCGCTTCTTTGGTGTATTGAGTCTGGGTTTGACAATATGCCGTTTGAAGGGGACGCGAAGACGATTATTGATAAAATCAACCAAGCGGATGCGAGGGATAGCCGGGTTGGAGCCTTCCTTGAAGAAGTTCTGAATTGTTTATCTAACCATAGTGGGTTCTCTGTGCGGTTTGTAGGTCGGCGTAGTAATAGGGTAGCCCATTTGGTGGCTAAAAAGGCCCTTCATTTGTATCCGACTGCGAGTCGCTTCTTTGATTTTATGGCCTAGTTAAATTCCAGGATGTAACTACCTATAATCTAATCAATATGATTATCTTTGGTAAAAAAAAAACAATGACTACCACACACAAAAAATCCCTAATTCACTTTTTGGGGTTTTGTTATTCGAAGTTGCAGGGGAAGCTTCGTTCAATTACTAATTCCCGCTGTTTTGGGAAGATGGGTTCGGCGTTTGGGGAGTGGTAGCAATCGTCACCACGATTCTCACTGCTGTCATTC